ATATATATATAGTTCCCACATATGAATAAGAACATGTGAGATTTGTCTTTCTGTGCGTGGCTTATTTCACTTAACATGATATGCTCCAGTTCCATCCATGTTGTTGCAAATGGCAGAATTTCATTTTTTTTTGTGGCTGTATCGTATTCCGTTATGTATATGTCCCATAATTTCTTTATCTACTCATCCATTGATGAACACTTAGGTTAATTCCATATGTTGGCTATTGTGAATAGTGCAGCAATAAGCATGGGAGTGCAGATCCCTTTTCAATATACTGAATTCCCAGGCTAAAGTGCAGTGGTGTCATCATAGGTCATTGCAACCTCAAACTCCTGGCCTCAAGCAATTCTCTTGTCTTAGCCTCCCGAGTAGCTGGAACTACAGATGTGCGCCACCACACCCAGCTAATTTTTCTATTTTTTGTAGAGATGGGCTCTTGCTCTTGCTCAGGCTGGTCTTGAACTCCTGGCCTCAAGCGATCCTCACACCTCGGTCTCCCAGAGTGCTAGGATTATAGGCATGAGCCACCTCGCCCAGGTGGTAGTTCTATTTTTAGTTTTTGAGGAACCTCCATAGTGTTTTCCATAGGGTTACACTAATTTACATTCCCACCAACAGTGCATGAGGGTTCCCCTTTCTCCTCATTCTTGCCTACATTTGTTATTGCCTATCTTTTTGATAAAATCCATTTTAACTGGAGTGAGATGATATCTCATTGTCATTTTGATTTGCACTTCTCTGATGATTAATGATGTTGAGCATTTTTTCATTTACCTGTTGGCTATTTGTATGTCTTTTTTTGGGGAAATGTCTATTCAGATCCTTTACCCATTTTTTAAATTGGATTATTTGATTTTTTCCTATTGAGTTGTTTCAGCTCCTTTTATATTCTAGTTATTAATTCCCTGTCAAATGGGTAGTTTGCAAATATTTTCTTCCATTCTGGGGGTTGTCCCTTCACTTTGTGGATTGTTTCCTTTGCTGTGCAGAAGCTTTTTAGCTTGATGTGATCCCATTTGTCCAGTTTTGCTTTGGTTGCCTGTGCTTTGGAGGCGTTACTCAAGAAGTCTTTGCCCAGACCCATGTCTGAAGCATTTCCACAGTGGTTTCTTTTAGTAGTTTGATAGCTTCAAGTCTTAGATTTAAGTCTTTAATCCATTTTGATTTGATTTTTGTATATGGTGAGAGATAAGGTTCTAGTTTCATTCTTCGACATATGGGTATCCAGTTCTCCCAGCACCATTTATTAAAGAGACTGTCCTTTCCCCACTGTATGTTCTTGGCACCTTTGTTGAAGATAAGTACACTATAGATGTGTGGATTTATTTCTGGGTTCTCTATTGTGTTCCAATGGTCTGCGTGTCTGTTTTTATGCCAGTACCATGCTGTTTGGGTTACTACAGCTCTGTAAGTACAATTTGAAGTCAGGTAATGTCATTCCTCCAGTTTTGTTCTTTTTGCTCAGGCTGGCTTTGGCTATTTTGGGTCTTTTGTAGTTCCATATAAATTCTAGGATTATTTTTCTATTTCTGTAAAGAATGTCATTGGTATTTTGATGGGAATCACATTGAATCTGTAGATTGCTTTGGGTAGAATAGATATTTTAACAATATCAATTCTTCCAGTCCATGAGCATGGAATATGTTTCCAGTTTTTGTGTGTCCTCTTCAACTTCTTTCATCAATGTGTTACAGTTTTCATCATAGAGATCTTTCCCTTCTTTGGGTAAGTTTATTCCTAGGTGTTTTATTTTATTTGTAGCTATTGTAAACAGTATTATTTTCTTGGTTTCTTTTTCAGATTTTTTACTGTTGGCATGTAGGAATGCTACCGATTTTTTGTATATTGATTTTGTATCCTGCAACTTTACTGAATTATTTATCAGTTCTAATAGTTTTTGGGTGGAATCTTTAGGTTTCTCTAGATATAAGATCATATTATCTGCAAATAAGGATAATTTGACTTCTTCCTTTCCAATGTGGATGCCCTTTATTTCTTTCTCTTGTTTGATTTCTCTAGCTAATTTAGCATTCTTACTGTCTCCTGTATCCCCAAGAGCTTATAAAAGTGCCTGTGCATAGTACTTACTCAGTAAGTATCTGTTGAATGAATTAATTATGTTTAGGGAATCTCCAGAAAGAGAGGTAAGGAGGAGGTAGTCATGTGGCATTGACAACTTATAGGGTTTCATGGGGTGTACCTTCCCTTCCATCAGTACTAGGCACCCCTTGAAGGAGCTGAGGTATAAAGGACCTGGGGGACCGATGGGAGGAAAATTGGGCAAGTAGTGCCATAGAGGAGATGGACTTGGTAAGTTGGTTGACAGGGGCTCACAGGTAACCCACGTAAGTCCTGGGAGAAAAAGGCAGCCCCCAACATGGAAGAGGCAAAAGATATTTGGGTAAAACAGTAATAATCTAACACAGTGGTTCTCAAACAGAGGCGACTTTGTCTCCTCCTCTTTCCCTCTGAGGACATATGGTAATGTTTGGAGACATTTTTGGTTGTCAGACTGGATGGATAGAGTCCAGGGATGCTGCTAAACATCCGATATTGCACAGCACAGCTTCCTACAACAAAGAATTATGCAGCTCAAATGTCACTGTCACTGAGACTGAGAAACTCTGTAAACATCACTAAGACCAAGGATGATCAAATAATTCATCATTCAAACTGAGCATTTTGAGGGTGAAATGCATATTGTTAAAATAAATATGCTAGGACCGTGGTCATCACTTGAGCAGACCTGGGAAAACCAGGATGTATTGTCACCTTGCTAAGAATCTTGGGATGAGGGAGAGTCTGGTCAGAGCCTGCAGAACATAGGGGCTATGGGAGGGGGCACAGGTGAGGGATTATGTTTTTTGGCACATGGGTAGATGGGGAGAAGCTCACCAGGGCAGGTGGAGTCTCCAAAATGAGAAGGTTTGACTCCCTGATGCAGAGGAAAGGCAGAGCCAGGGAAATGGGGTTTTTACAGAGCTGCCTTGGTATCACCAAGACTTTGACTCGCAAGGTTTGACTTGAAAATTATAGATAAACCAAGGGAGATCAGTGTCTGTTTTGCTAAAAGTAGTTCTTTTCAGAAATGGAATTGACAAATGTATGATTCATGGTCACGTGTGAAAGGTAAATATAATATCTCTCAGCCACATCTCCTTCCTAGATCAGGGAGGGCTGATAGGTTTCATGTCCCTTGTCCCTTGCAACTCTGACAGATTGCATCCACCTGCAAGGCCAGCTGAGGAGCAGGAGCCCCCTCTACTCAGTGAGAAAGAGTGTGGTGGTTGATTAGCAATGTCTGTCACAGGCCCAAAAAGGATAGTGATAGGCCGGTGGGCCACACACCCACCACCCGTTCACAGGGCCTTGTTCTTGTTTCTTCTCAAAGTCAGGCCAAAAGGGGTGAGCTCTGAGTCAGGTGGCCTGGAGTGTGTTTCTTGAGGCCAGCTGTGTCTGCTGCTGTGCTTGGTGCTGTGGGGCGTAACAAAGACTGGAAGACATAGCCTCCAGCCCCCAATACCATGACATTTTTGTGGATGAATAAAATAACATTGGCATAAATAAAACCACCGGGGAACAGGGAACAGTACAGGACTCAATAGCAAGTGCTCCCTGCATGGTGGAGCGTCTGTCCTGCAGAAAAACAGACAGAGGACACAGCATTGGGCTCAGAGCAGGAGGGTGATGGGAGGAAGTTTGGAGAATGGCTTTGGAGAGAGTGGCAGTGGTATGGGAGGAGAGTGAGATGATGAGGACAGGAGCCCCCGATAGTCCAATTGATGACTGTTTGCTGTGTTTTTCCAGGGCGAGAGATGGTGGGGCCCACGCTGCCTGGATACCCACCCCACATCCCCACCAGCGGACAGAGCAGCTATGCCTCCTCTGCCATCGCAGGCATGGTGGCAGGTAAGGGGAGGGCATTGCAAAAGGAGGTATTGGAGGAGGGAGGGACAAGAGCCGGCAGGAGGCATGCTGTGTCCCATTCGTAGAATTCCCAAAGGCCATGGAAGGATGGACGGAAGCAGGCACCTTCTTGTAAGTGCCTGGAGAAAAGGCCCCAGTGCCATCCTGGCTCCGTCATTAACTTGTCCCAGCTTGGTCTCTGTCTTCCCAGACAGACCTGTGTCCAAATCCACGCTCCCCCACTTCTTCCAGGACTCAGCGAGCATAAGGGAGCGTGCCCTGAGCGCCAGCAAAACGCTGTGAGCCGAACACGAGCCCCGCCCTTAAGCAGCCCTGGTCTCCCAGTAATTTAACTCTGGTGAATCTCAGTTACCCCTGCTGCAAATCCTGAATCTGAATGATCTTGTCGATGATGAGGACGAGGAGGGTGAAATGATTGAAACATACTCTCCTTTGCACATCACACTCTCCCAACCCTGCATGGGTAGGACCCAGGTTCTAAGTACTCTAAGGGTACTACAGAGTGTGTCTCTATCCTCATTTGGACTGTCCTGGAATCCTGCCTGCCAGTGATTTGGGTTCCTTTGTCTGCCAGTTGTCATCCCAGGTGATGGTGAGCCAGGGTGTCAAGGTCTGGACAAATGAGGACAACGGGAATTTCTCTGGGCAAGTCTCACTCTTTCAGGAGCCATACAGGAAAGACCTGGGGTGGATGAGGTAGAATTGAACCATTTCCATTGCACAGAGGGGCCTGGGTACCTGGAGCTTCTGGAAGGGGCTCTGGACTCAGGGCATCTATGACCCCCATGCCAGCCCTGGCCCAGCCTCCCTGGCTGTGACCCCAGAGACAGCTCATTCACCCCGACCTGCTTCCCTCCCTCCCCAGTAGGGGTTAATCTTTGCCAGCCGCCCACTCTGGGCACCCTGTGCAGAGGCAGGTGGGCTGGGCTCTCCTGGACAGAGGGAGGGGAGGGAGAAAGAGAGGGAGGAAAAAAGCTCCGTGCTCCCTGGGAACCTGCTGAGCTGGCACTTGTTGCTGCCTGGTTACCGTGGCGATGTGCTTAATGCAGCGTTGAAAATACAGAATACTGACTCCTCTCTCCCTCCTGGCCCCGGACTCCCTCCCTCTCTCCCTTCCTCTTCTGGAGCGTGAAATGAGATTGGTCAAGATAAAAAAGGAAAAGATTCGGTTATTTTTTTAAGAGTGTGGATAATGGGGCCTCTCAATCAAAATCCCAGGCTCCAGTCGGCTCCCCCATTCCCCTTCCAACCCCTCCACCTTCCCCTGACGCCTGCTCAGAGGAGGAGGAAGAAACATAAAGCACCAGGCTTTTCTCTTAATTATGAATCATTCCCTGAGGGCAAGCCCAGGGCAAGGGGTTCCTGGGGCCCAGAATCTGACCTGTGAGGTAGCTGGAAGGCTGGGGCCTCTCATCAAAGGCCCCTAGAAAGGCTTCATCCTGAGTGGGTGCTGTGAAAAAAAATAGCACAACTAGGACATTGACTGTAAGTGAATTGCAAAAGGGAAGGGCCTTGCCTTGCACAGTGAATGGGCTCCCAGTAAGTTGCATGCAAGTCAGTTTTCAGAAAATGTAATACTATATAAATGAATCACCTGGTTCCTAGGAACGCCATTGTGCAAATGAGTTCTTAAGGAATTTTTTTGTAGAAAAATTATGTGTCCCTCTCTTACCACTGCTTGTGATCTCCTAGTTGACTGAATGAGGATTCGTGTAAAAAAGTCAGTAAACTTTCATTGAGCACCTACTGCGTGCTTGTTAAGTACATAAAAAGTGCTTAAAGCAAGGCATGCCAATGACATTCATCAATCAATTGTGGAAGGAAGGAAGCGATTATTTATTATGCACTTCTGCATGCCTGGCCATTCATACAGTTAACTTTATTTCTCATTTGATCCTCACCATAAGACTGAGAGGCTGATATTACCCCAATTTTATAGGTAAGGAACCTGAGACTCAGAAAAACAAAGTGGTGTGCTCAGGGTCATAGCCATACTAAGTGTCTGAGTTGTGCAAATACTGGTCTTCTGATTTCACACTTAGGGCTCTTTCCATTACACCATACTGCCTCCTACCATACCAGAAATAAAGACACAAGCTATAGGAGAGTGACTCAGGAAAAGGACTGGGACAAATTTCCCTTGTCTCTTCACCTTCTGTTTGCCTTCTCATTTTTTTTTCTTTTGTTCTGACCCCACTAATGTAGTTAATGACCCTCATACCAGTTCTGGAGCAGAACTAACAGCTCCAGGTATATGGATCCATCAAGCCATCTATCCATCTTTCCATCCATTCATCTTTACATATATTTTTCCATACATCCATGCATTTTCCCATCTATCCTTTCATCCTTTCTTCATCCATTCCATTCATCTTTCCATTTATCTTTTTATTCATCTATCTTTCCGTCTCTCTATCCATCCATCTTCCCGTTCATCCATCTATCCATCCTTCCATCTATCCATTCACTTCTGATCCATCCTTCCATCCTTTCATCATTCGTTCTTCCATCCATCCATCTTTCTATCCATCCCTCTATCTTTCTGTCCCTTCTTCCATCCATCTATCCATCCATTCATCTTTTCATATATCAGTCCTTGCATCTCTCTTTCCATCCATCCTTCCATCATCCATTCATCCATCCATCTTCCCATATATTTATCTTTTCATCTAACTTTAAGTCTATCCTTTCATCCACCCATCCATTCATCCATCCATCTTCCCATATATTTATCTTTTCATCTAACTTTAAGTCTATCCTTTCATCCACCCATCCATTCATCCATCCATCCATCTTTCTATATATCCATCCTTTTATCTATCTTTCCATCTATCCATCCTTTCATTATCCTTGCACCATACACCTTTCATCCACTTGCATCCTTCCATCCACTCACCGCTTTTTCACTTAAAACAATATTGGTTGAGGATCTGCTGTGTGAGTGGCTGGGGATACAGCAATGAACAAGTCAGTTTCCTCTATTCGTGGAGCTTACAACCTAATAGTGGAGATAAACAGACAATAAACAAGTCAGTCAACAAATGAATGTACATGATAATTTCAGATGGTGATAAGTGCTGGGAAGAAAGTAAAATGGATGATGTAATAAAGAGCCACAGGTAAAAAGATGACTACTTTAGATTGGGTGATTGGGGAGGCCTCTCTGAGAAGGTGTTCAAAGTGGTCAGCCAAGTGGTAAACTGGGGCAGACCATCCCTGGCCCAAAAGAACAGCAAGTGCAAAGGCCCTAAGGCAGGAACTAGATTAGCATGGTAGCACACAAAAAGAAGGCGAGCATGGCAAAGAATAGTGAGTGATTGGGGAAAGCACTAAGGATGAGAGAGTTTGTTAGTGGCTGGGTCAAGTTTTAAAAGGTTACTCAGTTTTCTGGGAAAATGGACTGTAGACAGTCCAGAGCGAAGGCACAGAGACCAGACCAGTTAGGAGGCAGTTGCAGTAGTTCTTGCAAGAGATAACAATGGCTCAGGCTAGGGAGCTGGCAGTGAAGAAGGAGAAAGGACACTGAGTGTATATTTCGGTAGTGGACCCAACAAAACCTTCTGGTGAATTGGCTGTAGGAATGAGAAAATAGAGGGAAGAAGGATCACTTGCAGGGTTTGGGCTTGGGAAACTGCGTGGGTGGTGGGGAGTCTACATGTGGGAGGCCAGGAGGGGCAGTGGATGGCAGGTGGAAATCAAGAGTTCTGTTAGGCCATGTTTGGATGGAGATGCCCACTAAATACCCAGCTTTAATAAGTCAGTAGGCACACCATATAAGTCAGGAAAGAACGGTCGCTAGAGTATAAATTCAGCCATTGTACAAAGCTGTTATTTCACTCCAAGGGATTAGACAAAATCACCATAAAGAGAATGTGGACAGAGATTCACAGAAGGCTCACTGACAAAGCCTGGGGCACTCACTGTCACTTAGAGCTCTAATCCAGAAGGAACCAGCAAGGAGGACGGGTAGGGAAGACAGTGAGTTATGAAGCAAACCAGGACATGGGGTATCACGAACCCAGAAGCACAAACAGAGTGATGAGCTAGACGTTGAGGGAATTGTGGCCATAGAAGTGACTGTTGGGGTGGCCAGGTTAGAGGTTGTGGGGATTTGAGGGGACTAGCCTTGGCCTGAGTGGGAGGAGTGAGACAATGAAGACAGAGATCACGGGGTGAAGAAAGGGGCTGGTAGTAGAGAGGGACGTGGGGTGGGAAGAGGATTGTTAAAAGAGAAGATTGCAGAGCGTGTTTGCAGGCTGAAGGGAGTGAAGTATTACAAAGGAAGAGACTGATGAAGCAGGAGAGAGAAGATAGTTATAGGGGCCAAGTCCTTGGAAAGGTGAGTGGTGAGATGCAGAGCAGAGAGGCTGGGATGGCCTTTCATGGACACAGGGACATTTCCCCTGGGGCACGGGGCAGGCAGGTGGACAGATCTTGTGGTGGGAAGATGCCACACCCAGGGCTGTACCACCTCCCGAGCCCCATCCTCTGCCCCAACTTCCATGTGACTGAGGCAGATGGGTACTCAGGAAGTGAGTGTTAAATAAATAAATAAGTGGGTGAGTGAGTGAACGCATGAATGAATGACAAAATGAGAGGACAAACACGTTGTGTTTTCCTCCTCTCTTTGTTGCCTGCCAGAGCTCACAGTGTTTGGCACTGGGTAGGGTGGGCTAAAGGCCCGGGAGCCCTTGCTGTGTAGCCAGTGTAGAACCAACTTCCTGCAAGGGAATGCTGAAACCAGGGAGATCTGGGCCAAACAGGGACGATTCATATGGTGGAGTACGAGAGAGCACTGGTGTGGGAGCGAGGCGCCAGCCAGCTTCCTGGTTCAGGCTGTCATTGAGCATGTGGCCTTGGGCAGATGTCTTTCCCTCTCTGGGTTGCAGTTTCTGTATTTGTTAAATGGATGGTTGGATTAGATCATTTCTTAGTTTTCTTTCTTTCTTTCTTTCTTTTTCTTTGCTTTTTTTCCTTCTTCCCACCCTTCCTTCTTGTGCATGTGTCATTTGTCTGATCTGTGTTAGACTTAGTCCCTGCTCCTAAGGGGCTCACTGGTTCTTACTGTGAAGTTACTGCTTGTCACTGGCTCCCTAGATGTGGGGAGAGTCCAGGAGCCTTTCTCTGCTTCCCACTCCTCCTCCTCACTTCCATTCCTCCCATGCAAATGCCTACTTCTCTGGCAAGGAGGCTGCCCCACTGACCCCAAGCCAGGCCTTAAGACTGGTTGGATGACTGATTCAAGTTTGCACTGAGCTTCATTTTAGCTCCTGTTTAATGGGAAAATAAAAAAAGCTAACATTTATTGAGTGCTTCTTATGCTCCAAGCATGGTGCTAAGCATTTAATATGTATTGTCTTGTTTAATCCTTGCCAGACACCATGGGATAGAGACAATAATTTGCCTCGTTTTATAGATGAGGAAACCAAGGCTCAAAGAGGCTACGTGACTTGTCCAGAGTTAACGGCCAGGAAGTGGGGAGCAGGGATTCGACTCTAGACAGGCTGGCTCCAGGGCCAGGGAGTTTCAAGCCTCCCTCCAGAGAGTCTGGGAAGGAGGCTAGCAGCCACAGAAAACATTTAGCTCACAATCACAGATGAGTTTCTGAAAGACAGTGTGGGCATTCATTGGCTCTCGGGGGCTGGCCAGAACCTGGCTTTGTGAATGGAATTGTCTCCTAAGTGAATAAAGGGATTGTCTGGAATTTGGAGTCAAGAGCCCGAAGGTGGAGTTCTGCCCCACCATCCACCAACAGCGTGATCTGAGGCAAACTCCGTAATCGAGCTGCACTCCAATTTCCTCTTTTATAAATTGGTAGTAGGGGTGAGTACTTCACAGGAGGGTTGTGGGAACAAAGGGGTGTAGTGTGTGGGAAAGTGCTTTGCCAACGTGAGGCTCTATACCTAGATGGTCAGCTTGACTTTGTTGTTGTTATGTGAGGGAATTCACTCTTAAGTAATTTCTTAGGTAAATAACTCCTTTGGAAAAGCCAAGAATCCACAGACAGAAGGCGGTGATCTAATTTACTTTGTGTAAATTCATGCACTGAGTTTGCTCAAAGTGGTGGACCCGAGATGGAACAACAACTCCTCAGAACAATTCTCAAAACACAACTTCCCGCAGAGCTGGGGGCCCTCGGGGGCCCTCCTTCGTCTCCTACCCTTAATCCTGGGCACCTCCCCTCACCCCCAACGGAGACACACTCAACACACTTATACCCATGGAGGCTAAAATGTTCATATATACCGATTCCCTCTTTGACCACTATTTCACCTTGCCATGCCCTCCACCCCCAGCAAGTCCCTTCTGCAGACGATCTAGGCAGCAGTAGAAGCAGCAATTAGACTCTGGGCCCTAGAGTCACAGCACAGCTTCCAAATTCCACCAAACCCTCCAGCTGTTTGAGTTCCTGCAGATCCCAGAGCCTTAGTTTCTTCATCTGGAAAGTGAGGATAATCATAACATCTACCTCCTGGGCCTCCTGGGAAGGCTGCAATGTGTTAAGGCAGTGCCTCCAGTACCTGGGGGAAAGGACACTGCTCCAAATGACCCAGCCTGAGGGGTTCCCAAGGGGGTGATGGAGGGGCCTTCTGAGCTCCACTGTCCCTGCCCTGGCTCCACCTGTCCCCCTGCCACCCCCTGAGCTTGCCCACTGCCAGCCCTGCAGACCTCCCGGCACCCACCTCACAGGCCTCTCCCCTGTGTGCCTCCAACAGGAAGTGAATACTCTGGCAATGCCTACGGCCACACCCCCTACTCCTCCTACAGCGAGGCCTGGCGCTTCCCCAACTCCAGCCTGCTGAGTAAGTCCCTGGGGCTGCCCGGGCCTTCTGCTGGGTGGGGCGGGGTGGCATGGGGGCAAAAAGTTGTCTGAAAGTTGAGAGGCCCCAGGTTACATGGAGGGCCTGGGAGATAGGCGTTGTTTGTAATCAAAGAAGGTAGCGGGAGGCAGTATACCTGGTTGTTTGGGGGAAGAGGGCAGAAGGCCAGAGACTTCTGGCATCGCTTTCCCTCCTGTTCCTTAAGGCTGTGTCTTTTAAACCTTTGTTTTGTGTAAGATTCAGAGCTCGGGACTAGAGGGGGAGGGCAGAGGTGGACTTGAGAGAAGCCTGAGAACCTCCCTCCTCAGGGGCTTCCAGTCCAACAGCGGCAGGCACAACTCAGGGCGCCCCGCCAGCGCACGGCTCCCTCCTTCCTGGAAGCCGATCTCAAGAATGCCGCCCTGTCCCCCCACCCCTCATTAGCCATCTAAGTGGCTCACAAATACTCATGATTCAGCACCAAAACCCTTACACGGAAACCCTTTATTCCACCGCATTCCCCATATTTGCCTGAGATGCGGACAGCATTCGGGTCGAGGTCCAGACAGTGAGCTTTGGGGAGCTTCGAGGCTGCCCTTCACCCCTCTCTGGCCCTGAGACGCTGGGCTGGGAAGATCAGCTTTTCAGCATAGCAAGCCCCACAAATGGGGGGCTTGAGAGATCCCACTAGCGCCTCCCTGAGTGACCTTGGGGGTGTCAGAGCAAGCCTGAGCCAGAGAGAAGCAGCTGCCCAAGGGTGGCTGACTCCACGGGCACCGTCGCAGGCTGGCAGGAGCATCGATTCCCCAAGATGCCCTCTCCTCCCGTTACCTCCTGGTGTTCCAGACATAACTGGGAGGGTGGCTGACCTGAGCTCTCTTTGCTAGATGAGGTCAACACCAAGCCACCTTTCTGTTCAGTTTAGCTAGAAAGGCCGAGGGCAGCGAGACACGCCGGGGCCAGGCACCTTCCCGCTGAGTGGCCCAGGCTGCCCGCCTGCAGGTGTGCAGAGAGCCTCTGAAGGTCCTTCCACCCCACAGGAGCCTAATCCCCCCAGGGTTTTCAGGGGAAGATTCTCTGGCCTGGCACTGTTTGGGCGAGGCTGGGGAGGATCCCGAGGACCCCCCAGTGTGCTTGGTTCTTTGGGGTTCCACGAGCACCTGCTCCCTCCTGCCTTCTCCCTATAGCCAGGGTGGGGAAGGTCAGGGCAGTCGTGGGGGGAAGGGGCAAGAAGCAACTGTTCTCATTCTGGCCAGAAACTCAAAGGTGAGGCCAGAGAAGGAGGAAATGGGGCTGGAGAGGAGTTAATCTTTGATGATCAGATAGGCCAGAGGGGTGAATGATTAACTTGTGTTGTCTTAAAGGTCAGCAGATGCAGGGAAGGCTGTGGTGCAATTTCCCCCTCTGACCGGCAGTGTTGTTGTTATTTTTTTTTTTAACGTGTCCAGGTTCCCCATATTATTACAGTTCCACATCAAGGCCGAGCGCGCCACCCACCACCGCCACGGCCTTTGACCATCTGTAGTTGCCATGGGGACAGTGGGAGCAACCGAGCAACAGGAGGACTCAGCCTGGGACAGGCCCCAGAGAGTCACACAAAGGAATCTTTATTTATTACATGAAAAATAACCACAAGTCCAGCATCGCGGCTCACTCCCTGTGTGGTTAATTTAATGAACCATGAAAGACAGGATGACCTTGGAGAAGGCCACACTGTCCTCCAAGACTCCTTAAGGAGGGGCAGGAGTCCCAGGCAAAGAGAACCATCCCGTTCCAAAAAAGACAAAATTGGAGAAGAAATGGGGCCCCCAGCTGGAAGCCACCAAAGGAGAGAGGAGGGAGCAGCCGGAGGCGGTGGGGGGAGGTTGGGGGGATGGTGATTGGCCCTCACCTGGGCCCGAGGTGTGCACAGGGCACCTCCATGGCCCTGTCGTCAACACAGCTCTAGCAGTTATGGACTGAAAGCACTTCCTTCCAGCCCACAAGTCACAGCCTGGAGCCGAAGTTCTCCCCACCCGCCTCCCTGGAGTCACCTCCCTCAGCTCCACCTGTCCTCCTTGCCAGGGGCGGGGTCTGGTCAATCAGAAACTCCCGGCTGTCAGCTGACCTTCCTTTGCCTGCTGCTGTGATGTGCGAGCCCCACCCCAGGTTCTCCTACAGTGGGTCATCCCTTTGGCAGCTGCGGTCAGCCGGGCCGGCCTCAAGCGGCTTGAGACAGACATTCCAAAGGGCCCTGACCCCAGGGAGGTGAGGCGTGGATCTGCCCCGGCACAGGGAGGTGGCATTTCAGGGGACCCACTTCCCCTTCCCGACAGCTCCTGCTAGGCCGAGTGTGCTTCCTGCAGCTCCAGCCCACCAGCTACCGAAGAGACCCCGAGGCAGCCCCCTGAAGCCAACAGCGGAGATTCCCCCTCTGGCTCCCGCAGCTCCTGCCCCCAAGGCCTGACTGTATATACTGTACATGAAACTCTGTTTGGGTCAAGCTTTACTCTTTCCACCGCCCAGACTTTGGCCTCCGAGTGCGTTGTCTCCCTGCCATATTGGGCTTCTCTCCTTGATGCTTCTTTCTTTTTTAAAGACAACCCACCATTGCCATTGCCATGTGACTCAATAAACCATTACTCTCCATCTCAGGCTTTGGGGTTGGCTGGGGAAGGAGGCACCTCAGGACTGGGCTTTCTCCTGAGAACCTCAGAGCCAAGCGGCTGACAAACTCGCTTTGGAGCTGTGGGTTGTAGGGAACTATCTAGTGTCCCGGAGTCCTGACTTGGCATTCTCCTCCTGCCCTCGATAAATGTTTAATGCTCGGTACATCACTTGTCCCAGGCTTTGAGTGCTTCAGCACTGAGTAAATGTGAGGCTGGCACAGTGCTGGGCCAGTCACAGACCCCACACAAGTAGTTGCTGTTGTTATTAACAGGACGCCAGAGAATCAGCCGGCGGGGTGGCGAAGGACCCAGGGATGCTACAAAGTGGAGCCCACATCAACAGCTCTCATGGCCCTTGCGGTGGGAGAGGATGGGAGGGAGGACTGGACTCTCCTGTGTGCCAGGCACAGTGTGGAGGGCTTCCTATAACTTAAGTTGGAATTAGCCCCATTTTATAGATTAGGAAACCGAGGCTTAGAAAATAATGAAATTACTTGCCCATGGTAGTCCTCTTACACATTTACCCAACGACTCAGGACACTCATCAGGGATGTCAGAGTGTTCTAGACCCAATGGAGTTTTTGGAGCTGCCACTGAGAATGTAATTTCTTTTGGTTTGGTTCTAAAAATTTGACCTGACTGAGTGCTGGAGAGGTAAGCATGGAGAGGGTGAGGGAGGCTGCAGAGACTTAGGACTGCTGCCTCCAGGAAATTTGTGAGATACAATGTGACAGCGGGGGCTCTGCCCCCAGCAAGGTGCCTGGCTCACAGGGGGCTGTGTGCTATCCGAGGGGACGCTCTCCACGTGGACCCATGAGGAACAAAGGACAGGGGTCTGCAGCCTGGATGTCCAGGTTAGTGTGGGCAGCTGGGCAGACAACTCTGAGACTGAGCCAGGTGGAAGAGGGCCAGGAAATCCAAGGCTGGGAGGATAGGAGCTGAGACACAGGGCTCCTACCTCCTTTGGCCCCGCCAAAGGAGAAGCCAGGGTGCATGGCATGAGATCATTGAGCCAGGGGGACCCCTCCCATTAAGAAGAGATCCAACACCACCTCTTCTGAGGGGATCTGAGATGAGGCTGGTTTTTCAGTGACAGGACTTCCCTCAGCAGTGGGACCCTGAATTCCATTGTATCCAAGGCTCTTCATGACCCCAAACCCTGGGTTCATGAGGCCCTAAGACCACCCCCACCAGGTTCCAGGGCCACAGTGAACCCCCACCCCAGAAGTATTTGGAGGTACATGGCATCCCCAGGGGTCTGCACAGCCATCCTTTGTGTTTGCAGCCAACCCCCGCTGTTGACACTCTAGCAGACCCTCTCCAACTCATCGTGACCAAGGGACTTGAGCTGGGCTTTTGCTGTGGTGACATGGTTCCAAACTCACCTTGCTTTCTTTGAGGTGATCTGGGCATTCCAGGACACAGCTCAGAGTAGGTGACTTTGGTGACTATGGGGTGTGGCCCAAGTGCAGTGGGCCCTGGCTAGTACCTACCTGGATATGATCCAGCTGAGAATCCCCCTTTGGGGCTTAGAAAATGCAGCCATTAATGTATTGGGCAAGACAGGGATGATTCGAGGTGCCCCAGCATTGGGGGTGATGTTGGGGGAAGCCAGGGTGGCACATGAAGCGGAGTGACAAAGAGGGTGTGAGGACAAGGACAAGGAGGCTGCTGGGCCTGAGCTGGAAGGCCACTTTCACCTGGCTGCATGTGACAGGGGGGTGATTTCCTGTGCAGGGCAGTCAGGGGCCCCGTGGGAAGAGTTGTGTGTTGGCAGGAGAATTGGGGATGAGACATGAGCCTGAGCTATTCCCAAGGCGTGGAGGTCCCCCCCCCACACTGCACCTGAAACAACCCCTTTCCCTACCTGCGTGAAGAGAACACCTGAGCTTTCCAGGCAGCTCTCCCTGGTCCAGGCCAGCCCAGCGTGCTAGGGACTTGCAGGAAAGCTGTGTGGACCAGGCAGCACCCGCAGGGCAGTGGGTTTCTTGCTGGAAGACGGAGCAGCCCGTACCACACCTGGGGCCCACCAGATGGACAGAACTGCTGGGACCCTCCCCCATAGCTACAGGGGTGGGGATGGGGGAGCCGGGAGCCCCTGCCTCCATAGCCAGCCCAGACTAGTTCCAGCCCCTCCCCTTTCCCACCTTCTCTCACTTCTCCAATATTCTTGCTGAGAGTTGTTACCAAGAAACATGTATTTTCTGCCTGCCATGTGCCAGACACACACTTAACCCTCGAGACAACCTCAGGCAGGAGGAGTTAGTGGCCACAGTCTCCAGATGGGGAACAGGAGGCCAGAGAGATTGAGGCCCTGGCTAAGGTCTCCCCACTCCCACCTGCCCTCCTCATCCTCCTGCTTCCGTCACCCAAAACACACATGCTTCCTCCCATCCACACCAACACAGGTTCTTCTTTGAGATAAAGTCTGTTGTCCTTGTCCTTTGAGGGTGGGCACGGGAGGAGGGGGACCAGTGCCCATGGTCAGCATGTGTTTCAGCAGCAGCCCTGTCAATTAGGGGCAGAGGGGGCCGGCGGGGCCTGTGGCTCCCTCCCAGGCCCCTCCTTCACCCACGTCAGCCTCAGAAGTTAGAAGTGGCCTTTACACGGGCTTAGTTTCTGTCTGAGCACAAAGCTCACTCACTGACATCTCAGATGCTGAACATTGGACCCATTTTGTTTTGCTCTTGGGGAAACTGAGACCAGGAGATGACTTGACTTTTCAAGGTCATTCGGCTAGTCAGCAGAGGAGCTGGGACCGCAGCCCGACCCTCATCTGAGGCCTGCTCTGCATCCTATTCCACTGCGTGCCGGGCTTCTGCAGAGACCTCAGACACCCTTTGCTTGGCAGGGAGTGCAGAGGTCACTTAGCCAGTTAGGGCATTGCCACATGCTCCCAACTTGGCAAATAGCCCCGGACACAAGGCCCAGAGCCCAGCAGAGGAACGCTGGGGCCAGACGGAGCCGTGCCAGGCTGATCCCAGATTCCCCTCCACCAGTGGCCCTAAATCTCCCCCCAAGCTGCCCTTGGGCCCCCCCTCCCCCCCACCAACGTCTAGGATCATAAACCATCTCCATCTTCCACAGGGTGGTGATGGCTCCTCTGTCCCAGGCTGTCGTGTCACCTTCTGATGTCCAGTGACTGAGCTGCCACACTTCTCTCTCTCTCACCTCTTTCTCCTTCCTTTGTTCACTTCTTTCAGTTTCTTATTCCTTCCCCTCTTCTGCTGCCTTCAACACAGTTATTCCTTTCCCCACCCTGTGAGAGACCTTCGTGTCTCCAGGGCTGTGAAGAGTCAGAGAGAAAGGGAATGTTTGGGACGAGCTTCGAGGTCGGGGATGTGTTTGGGAAATGCCAGGAAGCAGCCCTTCGCCCCCTCGCCCTCTCCCTCTCTTTGGCTTCTTGGTCTTCTCATTACTTTCTTCTGTTCCTTTGGCTCTTTGGGGGCCTCTGGGACTCAGACACTGGAGCTTGGTCCCTCCTGTGTGACAGACCCCTGTCCCCATGGCTCCCTGCTCCCACATGCACACACCACCATCGTCAGCCCCATTCCCCACCTCCACGTCCTGCAGCCAGAACCAGGGGGCCCGGTTCTTCCCAAGAGAAGCTGGAGGAGGCTGACACGGTGACAGGTCTCTCCCTCTGCTCCGGTCAGCATCCTCCGCTAGACCACACTCTTTCTCCTACCCGTGGAGAGGCTGCCTGGAGATTTGGGGCACGGGGCTTGTGGGAGGGGGAGGCGGCAAGTGGGGCTCTGGGTGGGGAGAAGGGGCGGTGGGAGGCCGGCTCCTCTGCATCTGTGCCCGGTGGCAACCGGCCAGGCTGTGGAGTGAAGCGCTGCCTGCGGCTCTCCCAGGGAAATGTATTTCCCCCTGAGTGAAGCGGACTGTGCAGTGTGGAAATTGGCTCTTTTCTGAGCGAGCTGTGGCTGTTGCTGCGGAGTCGGGGCGGGCCGACTGGCCCCTGGAGTGAGCCGGGAGCAGCCATGTGCTGAGAACTCATTAGGGATAAATCAAACTAGTAACAGCATGAAGCCAACACCCTCCCCCCAACTGTGCCTCCCTTCCCCGCCCCCTCCAAGACGCCCCACTTGCTTCCTCCTCCATGGTCCTCTCCCTGCCAGACTCCCTCCTGCCTTTTCCCCAGCCAAGGCACCCCCCCCTCAGCCAAGACACCCCCCCTCAGCCAAGGTACCCCCCCACAGCCAAGGTACCCCTCAGTCAAGACACCCCCAAGCCAAGGCACCCCCC